ATACGTTTCAACGTGCGATTAAAAGTGATGTCCCAATGTTATGATCTCAGTTGCAAGTATTTCATATACAATATTTACGATATTGTGGTCAACTTTAAGTGACAACTTCATATTATGTTTTCATTTATTCAATAATAGAAAAAACGATTATAATATGTGAAATCAATGATTTGTGTTTCTTCGAGAATGTCATAGTTTCATTGTTCGTACTCCTTATTTCATGGTTTAATTTACAGTCTTATAAACCACGTGATAATTTGTATACAGATGTCAAACTTTAGATATTTGTACGGCATGCATCATGATGACTAACTAAAGATAATATGTTTTTTTTATATATATAAACGATACGACGGTTTTAAGTTATGTTCAATTTGATATTGTCCATATATTCTTAAGTAGGGCCGTTTTCTTCTTAAACCACATAATTTTTACCCAGCAGATATTAAACTCTATATGAAACATGTTATTCTAATTAATGTCAGTAATATGAAGATTGTCAACATGAAAAATAAACTAAAGCTATAAACGAACATGCAACATGTGTAAAATAAACTTTTAATTATAGGTTCAGTGTACACTAAACAGAAAATGAATATATGCAATATGCACACACACACAAAAGATCTAGGAAAATTATTTTAGTATCAATGCGTGGCGCGAAATAATTTAGTGGTGCTTTAATTTGTAGGTAAGTTTAGAGCAAGAAGTTTGTGCTAGAGAATCTCAAAGTTTTGTAAGCTTTAAATACTTAGCATAAGTTCTTTATATCTTAACACAAAAAGTGATACTGCCTTGTAAAGGCCTTGCGTTTTGTGTTTGTATTTCAGAGTGAATCAAAATGTCCTTCATACAAAAACACAGTATTCTGCAAATATAGAAGTTGTGATCTAATGTTAGTTTTTGACAAAATGATAAGTGTTGCATACTTATTTTACTTCATTCATATAACAGAGGAATATGTCTTGAAAAGCGTTGCAGCAGTATATGGAACTTATGCATATGATATCACAGGTCTTGTGTTGTATCACATTCAAAGAATGCGCTTTACTTGCCGGCATCCTTTGATCTCCAATACGAGATAATCCTACATTGAAAAGGCTCTTTAGATGAAAATCGAACAGGCCTTCTACTAGCACATCATTTTCAATGAACAATGGACTCGTGCAATTCTTATAAAATATTTGGAAGTCATCCTGTTTAATAAACGTTACAAAACATTTACATTGTTTAATACAAAAGTCTCAAATGAAGAAATTCTGAAAATCTTTCCAAAACACTTACTTTGATATACGATAATCAACAAAGAAGGGACTCGCGAATACATTACGAAACACTTGTTTATCACACTGAAGTCGCTAATTAAGGAATTCTTAAAATCCTCACAAAACAGACATGTCGTTTAATGCATCAAAGTTAATAATAAAGGGGGCTCGTTAATTCCTTAAAAAATACTTATTCTGTTTAATACAGAATCTATATACAAAAACGTTTTTTAAAGAAATTTTCAAACCCTCTTCCGTTCAGTACATCAAAGCAACTAACAAGAAGCCCTTGAAAAATACACATACATCATAATGAAACTGAATCCACTAAAAAAATTGACTCGGGAAATTACTACAAAATATTAATCTTGTTTAATGCACCAAAGTGTATTATTGATTAATAAGGGGTCCAGTAAGTTCTTACAAAACACTCGTGTTCTTTAATAAATTAAATTCACGAAAAGAAGGGGCTCGGGAAGTCTCTAGAAAATATATACGTTTTTGGTTCCAATGTTCAATGGCTCTCAATCCATTTTTGCAAATAAAATAGAAATATAAAATAAAACTGAACTTTGAGACGTTGGGTGTATTATATGGGTGATGGTTAAATACACTCTTAGCTTAGAGTATCATAAGAGTTTACCTGGGTATTATATATATATTAGTTGCTCTGTTCTATCAGTTCATAGTTAGGGATGCGGTTAGTGCATATAGCAGTTACATATGTGGCATTCACTGGCAATGCTACATAACTGTTTTTTAAAACAAGGACCCATTTCTCATTAACATTTGAGAATATTCAAGTCACACAAATCTTGTTGTGAATCACAAAATAAAACACCTTTGGGGCAATGAAATTTCCCTCATATTTAAATGTAATTGAATAACAATACTGTCCAATTACGTAGGATAGTGTATTATGGGATTAATTACGTAGGATAGTGTATTATGTGATTAATTACGTAGGATAGAGTATTATGTGATAATTAAGTAGGATAGTGTATTATGTGATAATTAAGTAGGATAGTGTATTATGTGATTAATTACGTAGGATAGTGTATTATGTGATTAATTACGTAGGATAGTGTATTATGTGATTAATTACGTAGGATAG